AAACAGACTCAATGGTGTGGGACATCAATAGTTGTGACTACTGATCTGAACAAAAGAGGGCCTGTACACATGACCCTAAGAACCTTTATTGCTGGTGAAGATATGCAAAAGCTCAAGATCAGGTGTTCAGCACAGATAAGTTATTAAAAAATCTTATTATATGCAAGATAAGGAAATCTGATATGGGAATAAGCAAGACAGACACTACTACCCTTGTGCATAACTCACTTATTTTATTAAAGTAGGCTTGCCATCTGCAATACTAAAAAATGGCTGAAATTCTTTCAAAAAGTTGTCTCTCATGAAATAGATTATCTGTGCTTTAAAACTATTCTGGATTCCAGGTTTTAATTTCTATGAAAAATATCACCTGCTTTGCTTCCTTTAAACTATTCATTCTTTGAAATATGTACTGGTAATAAACGTGACAAGAATTAAGTAACAAACATAACTGACTTTTTAAGTGTTTCCCAGCAACAAATTAGTACTAGCTTTATCAGGTATCAAGCTGGGACTCTGTCACTTTATTATACAGGAAGCATTACTTACACCCACCTGAAACAGACAACTGCTATGAGAAGCCTGATCCCCAACTGCCTTGCAGTTAGGGTAAAAATACATGAAAGCTCCCTCCATGTGTTTAATACAGGGAATTCAGAAAAGTAAGTACTAAAACTTAGCTGGACTACTTGGCAAGCTATTTTACCAAGTAGGTCGTTCTAACAAATTATTCCTTCGTAGAATTGCACTGTATTATAGGATCTACAGGCACTTAAAATTATTTAGCTAAATTAGATTTTGATAGAATACTTTCGAAAGAGAAGATTTTAGTTTGGTTTTTCTTGGTTTGTTTGTTTGTTTTGTTTGTTTTTGTGTTTTTTTTTAAAAATCCTTAATAATTTGGTCAAGCATCTTCTGCTCTCCCATTGCTGTTTTGCCAAGAAGTCAAAAATTTGACTTCATAAGTAAAGCTATGAAACACAATGAAATTAGAGCTAGTTAAAGAAAGGCATGTATTGATTACAGAATTGCTCTGTGATTAATAGAGCTTTTTTAAAAATCAGGAGTAACATCCAATTTCTGATGAAGTTTCTGTTGCTGATACAAATCAATCATCAAAAACATTGACAAATACAGCAATAACAGTACATAAATTAAGACATCAAGATTACATAGGAGTTAATTAAAACAGCCTAGTATTTTGTTAATTAACAGACAAATATATTAAACATCAATAATTTTACACAAAAGACAACTTTAGTAAATAATAGAATTAGAGGACAGACTAAACAGTTTCTTACCATCCATCTTGTCAGAAGTATCCTCTTTGTTGAAAAAGCAGGCAAAGAAACATGGAAAACTTAGTGTGTTAGAATAAGGGTGTTCACAGCAGAGTCATAAAACATTAATTAAGGAAAATACATTAATATTAAATACACCAGACGTTTATCTAATTCATGCATGTATAAGCTACCTTAAGTACAATTGGTTTCTCTCAGTCCAAGGTACAAAATTACAAAGCAGGGTACAAGCACCCTGTACAGGGATGTTGGATCTCTCCGTATACCCAGATTTGAGCAAACTTTTACAGTAAAATATTCATAAACTGTTTTGTCCTTGGTGTCAACAGTTACTGAAGCATCAGTACATATTTATACCATCACTGAACCACAATATTTACATTTCTTATAAAACCTGTTTTTGAGCATGAAGCCTCACCTGGGGTAAAGAACAGGAGCGAAAAAGACATCACGATAAAGACAGATGACAAATAGGAGAAAGTTCTACTCTGGTTTAAAAGCATTAAAATATTTACCAGTTCAGCTGGAAGGGAGGGCATACATGTTCTGACAGTAACAATCAAAATTAAAATATTTAGCATGAGACATATATAATTACAGCTCAAGTCTCCTCAAAAAGGACATTAATACTTAAGCACGTAAAAGACAGTTAACATTTTGAATAACTACAGTAGAGAATGTCCTCCTGCTTCTAGAGCAGTCATTTAAAAAAACATAAATAAGCAAACAATTCTATTAATAATAAAAAGGACAGAGATGGGTGGAGACAATCATCGATTACTGTGCTCATGAATTTGTGGTCCACTGAGGCTCTAAATTTGGCAGTTGTTTAAGCAAAAGGTGGATGTTCCTCTGCAAGTAAGGGTGAAAATAAATTCCAGAAGACAATGTCACCTATTCTGGTATTAAATGCCACACCTGAGAAGATGTGGAAAGCATTATGGAAATACAGTAACGTTTTCAAGGTATTTTAGTACCATGGTCATCATTATCTTGGGAACTGTCATTTAAGTTGTCAGATTTATTTCCTCCTTAACATGAACAGAGGGGAGAAGTTTACAAATTGGCCCACTTTCTGAAACATGGCACTTGATTTGATTCACACTCCATTCATTTCAAGGTTACCTTTGAAAAACTAAAAGCAAACGGTATCTTTAGGTGGATATCACGGTTAATCCATAGCCAAACACACAACAGTCACAGCCTCTACACAGGTAAGAGGGTATGTGTACAGGTAGGACAGGTAAGTGTCATTTCAATTAACTTACTACTATTAGAAAACCGTTAAGAGAATGAGCCACGATCAATCAAGCAGTACTGCTTTTGTGTGACAGTAAACAGAGCTTGGCCTCCTTAATTATCACAGCCCTTACACCATCTGTAGTAGGATCTGACTTTACTATACACTGCTAGTATCACATTATTTTGCCAGTTCAAACCACCATCATATTCTTCTCCACAAGTCATTGCATCTGCTAGCAAGGCAAAGCTTTCAGGCTACTCAAATCTTTCAAAAGAATCTGACCTGGCCTTCCTGAAAGCAAACCAATGCTCCAATCAAGAGTTGATTTTCTGTGAAACTCATTAGACCAAAGTAGTCCCTTAATTTCAGCAGCACACAGAAGACAGATTAACAGAGATTTCTTTGTTTTCCATTTGACATTTTTTTCCTTCTACCACCATGCTCTTTGTCATTTTTACTTCTCACAACAGCTAAACTCCAGCTTTATCTGAAATTCAGAATATGTCCTGTTGCACACCAAAATACTCTGATCTTGGAGAGTAATCACCCTATGTATTTCAGGCTTTTAGGCATTAAGTTAGGAGGAACTGAGAATTTCTCAAGCAATAACCACAAGTATATCTCCTCCACCAAGGAAACTGAGCAGCCTGACTGGTGTCAACCTGCTACCCAGCAGGTTCTCCAATTCCCTCCCTGGGGGCACTAGAGGGAGCCCACACCTGAAATTACTATTTCAAGTAACAAGTATTCCTTTTAGTCAGTATTGCTCACACTCATAAACCTAATCCTAAAATCAACGGTGTTCAAAACATTTCAAGTAGGCCCTGATGAAAAAAGAATCAAATCATTTAAAACAGTTTTAAATTTAAATTTTTATTTAAAAAAGCATAACTTTGAAAACCACGGCCAAAGTGTATCCTCACATCTTCCCTCAAACACAAGGTCAATCAGAAGAACTATATAGTTTCTCTGCCTCTCATGATCATCTTCAGCAATACTGGCATTAGGACATGCCTCCTTGGTGATCTAGCTGGCACATAAGCCAAGAACAAACGAACGGTTTTATGGACACTGAACCTTACTTCCCCCACTGTCACCTCTGCAGTATGGGTAACCTAAAAAGAACTAAAACATGTCCCTATTGCTTCACCCTCCACACTTAGTGGAGGTTCTAGCATCTACTAGATCCATCTACTACCACCACTACTTTAAAACACTTTTCTGCACTCTCATCATTTGTAGCACTATCCATTCCTTCCTATCAAATAAGCATTCCTTCCTATCAATGAAAGTTTGTCACACAGATAAAAACATACACATAGGTTCATCAACAAGCTTAGGAAGGAATCTATGAAGTCAGCATAGCAAATTATTGTGTAAAACACTTCTGTATTACGTGAAGAAGCAACCACTTACTGCCTGCATCTCTTTAGCATTGTTGTAAAGTAGTCAGCTAAAGAGCCGAGAAAAATGGACAATCAAGATGTTAACACCCATTTCCCTATTACTTCTAGAAGCAAAAAAGCCATGATCACCATCTGCTGATAAGTAAAGGTACTGCTCTTTCCAATACTTAATTCCAGATTAAGACACTTAAAGAGCATAGTATGGATACATTCTTTGCATCTGCATTGTTCCAGCACAAGAAAAATAAGACATCTAGCAAAGTTGGTAACTTACTTCAGAACACCTGCTCTTTTGCAATATTCCAATAATAACTAAAACTGATGACAATTTTTCAAATGTGTAAGTACTTTCCCATAATTACTTTACAAAAAACTTCAAAAAAATACCACAGTATTGTGTAGATGTTTCCCTTACCTAGCGAAGAGTAAGATCCCGGAGTTAGACCAGCAGTTGACAAGCGCCCAGCTCCACCTGTCTGTCCAGCAGCGTGGCGGGCCTTTGCACCTGCGGCAGCATTAACGTCAATGTCGCTGCGAGACCTTTGCAGAGTTCCTGGGCTTGGAACGCTCTTGCTGCTGCCTGAAACTAGAAAGAAAAATAAAATTAGTTGAATGAATAAAATTAATTGTATTTGAAATGTTAACATTTTCTACTACTGCAGAGTACCTGCAAAAAGTACAGAAAACTGTAAATAGTGTAGGTCAAGTTGATATTAGACAAAGTATTATCGAAGTTAAGAAGCAAACTATACCTGGTGTTGCCATGAAATTCAGATAAATACTACTGTAAAATAAACTGTTCTTTATCTTCATTCAGCATAACATTACTATTATTTAATATAAACTATGTGCTCCCACCCTAGTAGAAGTGACACAACACTGAACATTTACTTGATTTATTACCTTATTAAATGCTTCACAAAAGTAAGGGAATTCACAGCATCACTTGTGATACTGAGGGAAGACTAATCCCACACTTCAGCTAAGACAAAGCCACAGGCATTGTGAATGCATAGCCTGAATTGCTTTAAGGGTCCAATCTTCTGTAAAGTTTTCTCATATTCAACTCCTATTATTTACTAAATATTATCTATTTGCTGAATATTAACTATTTTTTTCAGTGAATTTTAACCATTAGTTTGTCTTCAAAACTTGACACCCCCTTAACTGCTTAAATATCCAGAAAAAACATCCTCTGAGTTGTAAACAGGAGTTCAGTGATTCATTCCACAAGAGTTTAAAATGTTACATGAAAGGAAAATGAAGATATTAAATTCTAAAAACTGAAGACAAAATTAAACTCTTTGAATTACAGATCTGTGATTTTGTTTGGGGTTTTTTTGTGGGTTGTTCCTGTTAAGTTTTGGAGGGGTTTTATTGGGGGGAGAGGGTGTTTTGTTTACAGTTTGAGTTTGTTTGTTGTTGTTGTTTTTAATAAAAAGAAACAGCTACACGGGAATAGATGAAAGTCGACTCCTTAATTTCCAATTGCAATAACCCTAATAATCATGAAAAGACCACAGAATAATGTTTTGCTTCTTTGAGAGTGACTGCGCCATTGCAAAACTCCATGACAGATGGTCAACAAATAGTACCAGTACGTAGCAAATTGTCTTAAACCTGCAACTACTGAAAATACATAAAATGTGGAGCAAGTATGAGGCATCTACTCCAGGTAGAGTTTACAGTGACAAATATCATTATTCAACTTGGAAAGAGAGGAAGTGATTAAAACAGTAAGATTTTAAGCTACATGTAAAACTTAAAATTCAAAGAACATAAAGAAAAAAAATTATTGTACACTGCACTATATAGAAACCACTTTACCTCTGCCTGCAAAGCTTGCTGGGCTGGCTGCAGACCATTTAGAAGATAGAGGCCGACTGAAAAAAATAAGTAAATAAACTCAATGAGTATGTCTCATGTATCAGATCCAAAAGGCAACAGGGGTGGTGGTGGGGAATCTTCTTCCCTTCAGCTTTCTCAGCATACTTTAGATAAACACATTAAATACAGAATGATAAGGAAAACACAATCGTCTTATCTTTTGTATTTTATGAAATTACACCTTAATCATAAAGCATTAATCCTTTGGTTACCAATAGGTCATAAAAAAAACATTTAAGGCGGTCACTACAAGGTTTTAACTACAAAGCTGACCTTCTAAAGCAGTCAAACAAAAATGGTGGGAGCTACACAAAAAGCTTGATTTATGAAAGAAATGATGTCTGCAGTAACAAGGAAATAAGTCTCTTCCAGTCCTGTATTTCCCAAGAATCAAGTCACAGATGAGAAAGGAAAATGCTGCAACCTCCAAGCAGCTAGATTGAATTTCTCTTGTTTGAATGCTAGAAGCTCCCGCAATTTATAAAAGAAGAAGAATCCCAGGTCTCTTCCTCTGCTTTCTCTACATTTCCCTATATCCTTATTGCAAAAATAAGTAGTTGCTGAAGCAAAATCTGTCTACTCAAGTTTAACTGTAAGCCTTTCCTTCTGCCTAGTTCAGAAGGGTAAAATGCAGTCAGAAGGACCAGTGAAAAGCAAAAAACTAGTAGAAGACAAGATACTTTATTCATTGATTCACACCTAGCCATCAAAATATTTACCTGACTGAGAAGTTTTGTATTTGCTGAAATAGTTGACTATTTCAACAGTCAAATTACAGCATCAGTCAAGAGTCTCAGCTCTAGTAAAAATAATCCCTCTCTAATTTTAAACCAAAAAGCAGAGAGAAAAAGAGATGCATAATATTGTGTATTTATCTATTAGTTCAGGTGCTCAATTATAATATAGAGGTCAGCACTGCTACCAAACTATGCACAGATCGTGTATTTGCAGCTTGTTATGAATAATACCTGATATTCTGACATTACTACCCACTGTTTTGGAGGTATGTTGCCACAGGTAAGTCAAGGAAGACTAGGAAGAGCTCCTGGGTACATCCTGACCTTGCAAAAGTTGCTCCAAACAGGCATCAGGCAACTGTTAAAATCTGAGCACCTGCACAATCTATTGCGATTGACATTTCATTTAAGCAGTTCATATAGGTAGGCACAAGTCACCACATTTCTCTCATTCCACCATCCTCTTTAAAACCCTTTTTGATCAGCAATCTGTAATAGCTGTAAGTTCAGACGGTCAAAAATTATGGAGGATCAGACTTCTAGGGAAACCATTACCCATATTTCCTAATTAGTCTATACAGGGAGAACTCAGCATCTATATTAGAAACCAGCAACATAATTTTGAGTAATATAGGGAAAACAACATGCATCTAAATGCAAAATTAGTAAAAAAATCAATTAATTAAAAATTAATTCATGTCCATCACGATCACTTCTGTTCAACTCTTATTCTACTCCTCCCTTTCTGCAGTGTAGTACTCGTGTATCTTGCAATACAGGAAGTAACTCTTACTTAAGGACTTAAGATTAAGATTCTAATTTCTCTGTAGTTTTTAACATTTTGCTACTAGTAACGCATTAACAGCACTTTGATTTTCAGACAGGTAATATACATTAACCAAAAGCAATTAATCTCAGAGTAAAATGAAATTAACCTACATAATAACCTACCTAATGTAGTAACCTACATTACAGACAATTATTTTTAAAGGTCTTTTTTATAATTTGAAGTACTGTAGGAAAGATAATATTTGATATAGAAGAGGGAAAGACTCTGGTATTTAAGGCAGCAGCCAAAACAAGAGGGAGGGAATAACTTCTAATATGCTGAAATCAGTATTTGCTTTCAAGCCAAAAGTAAGCAAACAAGTTCTCTGGCTTTGGAAATGAAGAATCTGAATTGAAATCTTAACAGGTTTAAATACTTTTGAGGAAGCTTTTTAGAATTTAAAGGAAAAAAAATATCACCACAATACTACTATATGACATTTCTACTAAACAGCCAGGAGATTTCTTCTGCTGTTGGTAATGAAGCAAACTTTAATCTGTTCAGCTCAAGACTGACTAAGCATTTTAACACATCACTGACTTCAGTACAGCCCCACTCTCCAGTAATCAGCATACCTGCAAAATACTGCTAATACATATTCAAAACTGTGAAGACAGGAAAAAACTGAGCTCTGATCTCAATGAATCTCACTGCCACTGGCTCACAGAATTATGGAGGCTGGAAAAGACCTCTGAGATAATCAAGTCCAGCCGACAACCTAACACCACCACATCGGCTAGACCATGGCATTAAGTGCCACATCCAGCCTTTCCTTAAACACCTCCAGGGATGGCGACTCCAACACCTCCCTGGGCAGTCCATTCCAATGCCTGATCACCCTCTCCATGAAAAAGTGCTTTCTAATATCCAGCCTAAATCTCCCCTGGCGCAGCTTCAGGCTATGCCCTCTCCTCTTGTCACCAGTTGCCTGGGAGAAGAGCCCGACCCTCATCTCACTACAGCTTCAGGTAGTTGTAGAGGGTGATAAGGTCTTTCCTAAGTTTCCTCTTCTCCAGGCTAAACAACCCCAGCTCCCTTAGACTCTCATTCTAAGACTTTCCCTCTAGTCCCTTCACCAGCCTCGCTGCTCTCCTCTGGGCCCGCTCCAGCACCTCAATATCTGCTTGATATTGGACATCAATATGTGAACCCTGAAGACGGTTTTGTGTAACATAGGCTGCTAAGGAATAAATACATAAATGAGAACAGCCTTCTAAAATCCAGTTAATGACTGCCTTTATTTTTCACCTTGCTGGGGTAATACTGTCATACAGCAAAACACAATATAAGACTTTTCATTAAAAAAAACAATTGCAGCTTTTCTGTACACCACAGAAGTCTGGCTCATTTACTTGTGAGAAAAAGATTTTGTTTGTTTATAGGCTCAGAAACAGTTAAGTGACCCTTACTTGAGGCTCTCCTGTGAGCTGGAGGATGACCTGTCTGACTGAGGGAGAGATGCTATACTGCCAGAGTTCTTCAGGTAGGTCTGGAGGCTTCTTTGATAGGGTGGCTCAAGAGAATTGTACAGAGTCTCAGCTTCACTAGGAAAGTGATTTCTAAGACCCAGATAAGCCCTGCAAAATAAGAGAATAACCACATGTAATTGCTCTGTATTGTCTTCAAAGTGCAGAGTCAGAAAGAAAAAGATCACAGAATGAACCAGGGATGGGAGGGAAAGGAACTCAGACTGAAAGTATGTAACATATACAACACCGTTCAGCAAATCATAAAAGAAACCAACTTGACTGAATTAATATTTTCAAAATAACTTAGTCTATCCTGTGAAATTCCCACATTCACTTGCCGATTCTGTGGGGAAGCAAGAGAAATTATTTTCTGGCCTACTCAGTAGTCTAAGTGCTTGCAGTTGTTTAATGACTTAATGGGAAGGGGAAGAATAATTATGCAGCAATATCAATCTTTATGACTCCTGTTTCAGTAGAATCCTCAAATGCTGCACGCAGTATTAATTGCCTCAACTTTCAGAATGTCTTTTGCAAAAGAAACTAGATACTGATTCAGGACTCGGAGAACAGAAACATCAATTTTCAACCTAACTTGTGTCCTCTTCAGCTACAGTTAACTACCCAAGTCTGTTCAGAGCCTTCTATCGCTCATGTAGAATATATAATTTTTCAGAGAAAAATGTAGTAAAAACTCACTTTCTTGCCTCCACTCTTGCTTCTGCATCAGCATCATGAATGCCCTTCTTGATCGTTTCAACCAAGACAGCTGCATGCCTAGAAGAAAGACATTCTTCATGCTATTTTGCTACTCCAAATTCTAAGTAGTAAAGTTTCACCCTTTAAATTAATATTTCTCCAAGTAAAAAAATCAGCAGAGATAGCAGCTCTAAGATAAGAAGTAAATATATGTTTAAGCACACTGGTAACAACTGCACCTTCTGTAAAGGTTCATGTAAGCTTCCTTCTTCAATCTAAAAGAACTATAATCTACTTTTCAGACATACATCCATATAACACACTTTTTAAAAAGTTATTTTAAAATACCTTTTTAAAGACACCTACTTTCTTGAAATGGAAAAATTATTTCCCCTACTGTATTAACAGTATGAAAAAGTAAAAAGATTAGTAAGCTTGCTTCCCTGGAAATTCACCTCAGAGCTTTTGGTGTATGAGTTCTAAACCTCAACAGAGACTCAAAGAGCAGCAAAATGTGCATAAGAACAAGAAGAAACTGATGATGAACCAATTTTAATTCAAGGTATGTTTGTGGTTTTGGTTTTTTTGGTTGGTTGGGATTTTTTGGGGGAGACAGGGTGGTTTTTTGTGGGTTTTTTTTAATACACTCTGACATAATCAAGTGATCTCTTCATTACTGTCTTTTTCTCAGGAGCACCTTGAAGAGCTGAAAGGTGACTATGGAGCCAGATGAGCAATTCAGAGCCTTCTCTGGAGGTCTTGTAGTCCCTTTGCTCTTACTCTGTGCTTACACATTCTGCAGAGCTGATGCATGGACTATTTTTCCATCGACCTGAAGAAGTTACAGTGTGTTCTTAACCATTACCAGAAAAAGTCCTCCAGCCTAATCTCACTTGCCTCTTTTATAGCAAACGTAAATTACCTCCTTTCAGGAGAAACGACAGATGCTTGCCTGTGCATCTTTGCTGCACAGGATATGTGATATAAATGAAACTCTGAGAAAGTACACATTGTTCATATGTGGAACAGGAGAAAAGGTATACGGTAAGGAGAGGCGGCAATATAAAGTCAAGGCTGGAGCATACAGCTCTCCTGCTTCCTAGGACTTGAATGAGCCACATCACTTCTTGTACTAGAAAGGCTGTCTATGCTAGAAAGGTTGGCCAAAACTAATATAATTCAATTAAAGGATTCAATGAAAAGACCTCTGTCTTAAAATGAATTAGCAGTTTATTCTTGGGGGAAAAAGTATACTGGCCCATACCTTTCCAACGAATGTGTTTGCCACTCTTGTAACAACAGGTCCAAAAATTCAAAGGAGCGCCTGAAAAGACAGAACAAAAAGTTGTAATTAATAGTTATTTCTTTAATAAGCTTGCAGAGTAAACAGTAACTTTGTTCTTTCTCCCTGAAGGAAACAAATACATAAAATAAAACCCTGTTTACCTGCCAAATAATAACATTGGTCACCTTACTGTAAAGTTAAAATATTATGTACAGAAAAGCAAACATGAGGGCTAACTAATCCTAAACTTCAAAAAACCAGATGTGGCTCAATTAACTATCTGTTGCTGAAGACGTGTTATTGCATATATGCTGTATTAGCTTTATTAGCCCCAAAATAACAGACAAAAATCAATTAAGTTTAAAATTTCTATGAACTACAAAATCTTAATACGTATTAAAAAAAATCAGTAATTGAAAAACTCAGCTATTAGGTCCCAACATAATGTTTCCATGGCAGCATACTACAGTCCCAAACACATCCTTTCATCTGTCATTACCAAGTACGTAGCATAAAGGAAACATGAGACCATTAGTACAGGGCTCTGCGCATAGAAAGCGCTTTGAAGCTTTGCTGGCCCTGTACAAGCTAAGTTATGTAACCTTATTCATTATTAATTCAGAATTCCTGACAACTTAGCAGCCAGCCATTACCAAAAGGCACATCCTGGTGAACAAATCAAAGTGACGTGGATTAAGAAGTTGTATACAAGTCTTCAAAAAAGTAATTGACTCTACTGTCTGGAACTATTTTTTTTCTAGTTATGTTGCATCTTTGACCTGTTTTGGAGGGGCAAATTTTGTATTTATTCTGCCCAAATCCTTTGGACACCTACAAGACATGACAAGAAACCCTGAAAGGCTTGTCACTATTATAACTGACCTAGTTTTCCTTTGTCTTCCCAAAGGAATGAAATCAGTATGTAAACAGTACAATTCTGGCCACCTTCACTGATGTTCACTGGATTGTGAAGTGCAGTACCTACAGCCTAATGCTCCTCAGCAAAGCTGTGGTAAGTGGAGGCACTGAAGCCTTGTGAATTGTTTTGCAGTCAAACCAGAAGTTATGACAAGTCAGTATAGTCTGGGTTGAGATAATACTTGCAAAGACAGCTTAGATTCAGAACAAACAGTTTAAATGCTCAAGCTATTTCTTGATACACATAGCTGTATTGCTTTCAGGGCCAGAGTGGGTCCAGTAACAGCATTAACTCCTTTCATGAGATCCTGTGCATAAAACGACACTGTCAGAAATCAATTAATTTTGTCAAGAGCCAATACAAGTGTTCAAGTATCATGTTCTTGGAAAAAGCACCACGCTGAAGATGCACCTCAGTCGTTAAACGTGACAACACATTGATCCACCATGTCCCAACTACAGTAGCAGCCACTATCTTAATCTCACAGTCCCCAGAGTGGCAGGTTTATTATTTCAGGCACAGAATCAGACAGTCCAGCTCCACGCATTGAAACTGCATTGCACGGAAGTTAGGAAGTCCTCCTGGCATCAGCAGAGCAAGGTGTTGGCACACGCAGCCCGCAGTACACTGTAGTGCTCTGACAAGAGCTGACCTTGCCAGACCTATCAGGTCTGGCCCTAACAGTAACCAAGAGGCTCAGGCTGGTTCTTTGCAAAGACATGCAGCTCTGCTTCATGCTTTTCCAATGCCTCTCAGTGCCTGTGGTGGTTATTCTCTTCAGACTGAACAACACAGAATGTACTTTTCCAACAAGTGTTAGTAACACTTTGAATTAGAATAAATTCTGCAAAAAGGTACAGCGTATGTCCCCCAACATAGCGGAAAGTACCACTCCTCAACATCATCCCATGTGACTTTACTGAAACTAATTTTTGTAGTTTACTGGATAACACAGTTTTGTTAATTCAGAGTTAATGACCACTAATCTTCAAATCTGTTTATGTTCAATGTAAGATCATTATATTAAAATATATTTTATATAC